GCAGTGTGTTTTCCCCAATTCTCATTGTTCTTCATCCAAGTTCATCTTCGTACTAACCCCCCCCAAAAAATCTGTTATTCAAGTTGTTTCTCCTTTGCTCCAGCCTTTCCTTAACTGGACAAGAAATGCCTGGATCCTCAGGTTTTAAATGCTGCTCCTCACTCCAAATGCGTTGGTGAAAACCATGTGCAGCAGGATTCCCACCATTGTGCTAAACTTAAGGCACATACACACAGGGATAGAGAACTCCGCCTTAAGACATTAAAGCTTGAAAAGAACCAACACCCTGCCTCTGATTTGGACACCCAGTGGCCTGAATAACAGATCTGATAATGAGAAGAAATCCCCAAAGAAGTGAGTCGCCTCCTTACCTCAGAAACCGCAGTTGTCTAAGTGGTATGCAACGAGAAGTTGGTACTGAGAGTTGAGGGAGCACCACGCCTCAGCACTTAAGATGTGCCAAGGATCTCTGGCACCTAATGAGGAACCATCAAGCAGAGTGCTCAAAAATTCTGCACCGAAGCCACAGGCCATATTATGCCTGTCTCGACAGCCTCAGCTCCCATTATGGCACTGGAAAAACAAGAGACAGTCTCATCGGTCCCAATAAAATACAGCACTGGACTCAAGTTCCGTCAATATAACTGCCATAACTATCACGGCATGGAAACAGCTTTCAGTTCCAATAGATGCTCAACTAACATCGGTACTGTCCACCACACCATCATTAATGGCACCGTCTACACCGGCACTGAGGTATCTTCAAAGCAAGGATCTCACTGTTTCTTCTACCTTTAAGTCCCCTTTTCTTGGCACCGATATAGCATCAGCTACTGCGACACCACGGCACGTTTCCTCTTCCATGCTACTATCTAGCAATGAGGATGAATGAGCAGAGTTACCTTTCTCATCCCAACTTTTGCCCGGCATTGAGGCTTCTGTACTGTGCTTGCATCCCAGTTTCAGATGCTCAATAGGGCCCACAATCCCCGCCCCCCGCTCTGGGGGCCACACCACTGAATGCCACCACCCATTGCATGTGGTGCACAGTGGCAGTACTGGAGCCCATGGGGATATGGTTTTAAGAGAATGCACTAAGATGACAAACATGCAATCCGTGCCATCCCCTCCACCCCATTCTCCATTCCTTCAGAGAACCCAGGAAGAATTATAGGGTCAGCAAAACCGTGAATCAGGACCAGATACCTCGCCTGACATTAACGCATTATCATTGCCAGATGAAGCAATAATGCCACCACCTCAAACAGTGGCTGATGACTTAACATCTTTTCAGGACCTTTTCAAAAGGGTAGCAGCAGATCTCAACATAGCCACGGAGGAGTTCTCTGAGACCCAATATGAGCTTACCAATAGACTTCAGGCCACACCTACTGCAAAGATCATACTCCCCATAAATACATATTGGCAGACCCATGCAACCTTACCACCCTCTTGTAAAAGTGCTAATAGAAAATATTATGTTGCCCCAAAGGGATCCAATTTTTTTTTTACCCACGTAACTCTCTGGTAGTCAAAGCTGCGCACAAGAGAAATAAACACCACCAGGCACTATCTACCGTAGCTGACCAAGACAAGAGACAAGACAAGCTAACCTCTTTGGTAGAAAGGCCTACTATCTCCCACCCTTCAGTTTAGAGTCGCCAATTACACCATACCCTTTAGCAAATATGACTTCAACTATTCACAACTCAATACCTTTATTGACAATATAGCAGAGGCAAAGAAACAGCAATTTAAAGCAGTGATCAGAGGGGTATGTGATTTCATGCAGAGCCTTGCAAGCCACCCTTGATGCCTCTGACATGGCTACTAGGGCAACAGCCACAAAGGTTGTTATGAGGCAAGCCTCCTGGTTTAACTCCTCAGCATTTCCCCAGGGAAATACAGCCTGCCTTGGAGGACCTCCTCTTTGAGGTTGAGAAGCTTGTCTAAAAAAAAAAAAAAACCCCAGTGAGGTCCTCCATTCCATGAAGGATTCACAGGCGACCTGCGTTCCTTGGGCATTCATATGCCTGCAACTAGGAGATGACAATTTAGGTACCAGCCATACGCAAGACCCAGATAGCCCTCGTATATCTACCATCAGCATAAACAGGGCCAGCAGTGTCAGCAACAACTTGGTCAGGGGAGGCAGCGCAGATGCAACCAGATCAACACTGCAAACTAGCCGCCCCAGCCAAACGAGCAAATTTGAGGCCTCCGTCGAGGGACCAAAAATCTCTCCCCCTGCTCCAGAGACTCTAACCTCTGAAAAAACATTTAACTATCATCTTGTGCCGTTTTACATAGCATGGTAGTCCATAACTGATAAATCGGTGCTACAATACAATACTGGATATACTGTCCCTTTGTTAGGATCTTTAATTCGAACTACCGTTACTCCTCATTCCATGAGGATCTTTAATTTGAAATTAGGATCTTTAATTCGAACTACCTAGTCCGTGCCACGTGTAGCCACGGGCATGGAGTTCGGACTAAGGGGGATTTAAAAATGGCGGCTCCCGGGAACATGCAAATGAAGCCCAGGATATTTAAATCCCGGGCTTCATTTGCAACTTCAATTGCCCTCATTATCCTACCTAGCTCGAACTAACGAGTTAGTGTAGACATATACCCTAAGATTCTTGCTGTAGTCACTGTCTATGTAAGGAAACTCAATATCATTTTTCCTTTTCTCGACAAGTGCCTAATCAAGTCCAGATCAGAGGCACAGTCTGGCAACGACATCCACATGGTCATTACTTGCTTCTAGTCCTTTGAGCCAGTGGCCATTTGGATACTTCATCTTTCTACGAAGACACCATTTTTGGTTGCAATCACATCTGCCAGATGAGTGGGAAAGGTGACCGCTCTAATGGCGGATCTTCCATACACCATCTTTTTTAAAGATAAAGTCATGCTTTGTACCCACCCAAAATTCCTCCCCAGGATCACCAGATCATCCACGTAACTGTTCTTTTCTCTAGGCCTCATGTTATTCTCTTGAGGCAAAGATGCATACACTAGGTGTCTGCAGAGCTCTTTCATTCTTTTTACATTCATAGAACTAGGCCCTTTAGGACTTCGCCCAGCTTTTTATATCCATTGTAAAATGCAATAAAGGACAAAAGATATCTTCCCAAAGACTGTCTCACTGGATTTCAGACTGCATACCCTTATGCTACCAGCACAATCATCTTACTCCACCTGTCTCCATCTGGGCCCATTCCACCTAGCTTACCTCCGCAAGATCCCTCTTGAGGACATATGCGCTACAGCCACCTCCGTCTCTGATTAAACTTTTTCAAAGCACTGCGCACTTTCTCATGAGCGTCTTTCTTCAGCTAAGGTTGCTAAAGTGGTGTTGTCCACTGCTTACCTGCCGAATCCGGAGTCCCTACCTCCTGAGGACATACTGCTTTGCAGTCACCTGCTGTGGAGCACCCACAGGGATGTGTCTCGAAGAACAGGTTACTCACTTTTAGCAGTAACTGACGTTCTTCGATATGAATGTCCGTATGAGTGCTCTGCTACCTTCCTTTCCTCCCATCCTCTTTGGAGTCTTTCTCTCTCTTGTACATGCTGGGTTTCTGAGTAGAGAAGGAACTGAGGGGAGGGTGGCCGCACATGCTTGGTTGCACCATGTGGTGCTCGCGCACCCCTTTTGCCATGCATGTATAGCCCCCCTAGGCGCTGCTTTGAAGAGTCCAGTCTGTGGAGCACCCAGAGGGATACACATCTCGAAGAATGTCAAGTTACTACTAAAGGTGAGTAACCTTCTCTTCATCTGGGAAGGAGCCTGCTTTGTCAGACCTCTGAGGCACTCTGGTGCTGTCTTCTCTATGAAAAGTAGCAGCTGAGGGAACAGGAATGGCAAAATGAAAAAGGAAGGGGCTCAGGTACCTGTGCCAAATTAAGCATGACCTCCCTACTCAGTCTGCCCACTCCGGTTCACTTCTGGGTCCTTTCTGCCTTGGACTGGAGAAGTGTGCTTCAGGCTGGAGTCAGCGTAGTGGCCAGATGTTTGGCAGTCTCCTCCAGATCATGCTGGTCATAAGCCAGTAAGTTGAACTGATGAGTTAACTGGTATTCCTTGAGTATAACATGTACATGCATATATTTTTGCCTTTTATTTCATGCAAGGTCGTTTTATATCTCATACTATGTGTTGGGGGAGTTGGATTAATGCTCTGTAGTCTAACTTCCTCTTCATGCAGGTGTGAGTATACAAGCTGTAACCTGGTACTCAGTGGGATTCATCCCTGTCATGATTTTTTTTGCTAGTGTTATCTTCCATTGCAGTATTTTCCGATTACATATAACAACATTGGTCTCCCAGATGTCCATAAATATAGGTACTGTCAGCAATAATAAATATGCCTCTTGCTTTTGTTTGTGAATTTTATTTCTGGTGCATTAATGTCCCCAGTGTAATAATCTGTAAAGAGGTATGTTTGGGCATTGCTAAAACTTGGAAAGGAGTTCCTTACAAGAGAGGGCCAATAGATTGGCCATAAATATCAGATGGGCATTTTTGCCAGCAATATACTTGATCTAAATGTGCTTTCTCATACCTAAGCCAAGGGCTTTACCCATTTTGTGAGCATAGACAGTTCCACCCACTTATGTTTATTAGACATGCCAGCAGATTGTCCCCAGAAGGCCACTACGTTAATAGTCTTGTTAAAGGTGCTGTTCCCAGAAAGAATGTTATGAATATTATTCCATTTGATTTAACAAACTTAAGGTTAAGAAAATACACTACCACATAACTATAAGTGTCAAGGTTAAAATTCAAATGATATTCATATGTGGTTTTTCCAGTTGTTATATCCAAACACACTGATAAATGCTTGATTAGATTGTGCATTTTTTTTCTTATTGAAAGTAGAGCCTAGCCTATCTGTAGTCTCATAGGAAGTTAAGTTTACTGCAGAAGTGATTTGGATTCCTTTTATACCTTTTCATTCCATTTTGATTTTCTGGGACTTTGATTGTAGGCCCGGATCAATGCCAGATTGCAACAGTATCGTGCCAAGGCAGAATTAGCTCGTACCACCAGGCCTCAGGCATGGGTACCCAGGGAGAAGCTGCCACGACCACTCACTAGCAGTGCTTCAGCCATACGTAAACTGATGCGCAAAGCTGAGTTAATGGGAATTAGTACAGATATCTTTCCAGTGGACACTTCAGATACAAATTCCAGTGTGGATGGAAGGAGAAAACATAAGCAACCGGCTCTCACTGCTGATTTTGTGAATTATTATCTTGGTAAGGATAAGACTATATTTAAGTTTCTTAAGCCATATAAACAATGCTTCATGCCTACAGACTTTGTGCTATATGATGTTTTGAAGAAAAAAATTGGATAATTATAGACAGAAAGGAGAGGATTTGGTAATAGTAACACAATATGTTTGTTTGTGTGTGTGTGTGTGTGTGTGTGTGTGTGTGTATTAAAATCACTAGAGAAAAAAGCTAACTATCATTGCTCATTCACATGAATGCAAAGGTCACATAAATAGCATCCCAAAGTAAGTTAGTACGTGCCTTTTTGTAAATTAAATTTCTTCAAACATAAATAGCAGGGAGTATGTTTTTGATAGGTATAGAAGGGTAGATATTTGGCATCTTTTTTTCTTTTGTCCTCTTTGAATTCAGGTGGAAGAGCATCCCTTTCCCCTCTGAACATCTTTAGCCTAATCTTGGGGGCTGTCCTCAATACTCAATTTCCATCTTAGAATGGCATACTCTTGTAATTGGTCACTCCAGGCTAAACTTCAGTTAGTGCCCATCACTAAACAGTTACCTTAGCATTACTTTGCCCATGCAGCAAAATCATATGGCAGTAGTGCTGAGCGAATAACTGATTTTGTTCAATAGTAATAGAAATGTAGCTGTGTTAGTCTAGTCCAGCTGAAACACAAAACAGGACTATGTAGCACTTTAAAGACTAACAAGATGGTTTATTAGGTGATGAGCTTTCGTGGGCCAGACCCACTTCCTCAGATCAAATTGTGGAAGGAAATTGGCATGACCATATATACCAAAGGGATACAATTAAAAAAAAGTGAACACATATGAAAAGGACAAATCAAATTTCAGAACAGAGGGAGGATGAGGGTGGGAGGTAAATGTCTGTTTGTGTCATATTTTCAAACTTGTGTCATATTTCAAGAATAGTTTTGGAAAGTTGTAGGTTAATTAAAACTGCATTTTTTTTCATATAAACCAGGGGTCGGCAACCTTTTCAAACCAAAGAGCCAAACTACATCAAAATTCAAAACAAGTTGTCAACTAATAGCTGCGTAAGACTGCCCATTTGCATGACTGAAAATATACAACATAATATTATTGATAATTGACATAATGATTAATAATAGCATAAATGAAATGTACTCATAGACTTTAATGTGACTTTTGCTGTTGCATCTTTTTGCACATGTCTTTGAAGTTTACATCAAACATAACTGGTGAAATCCAGCTTCATGCATGCATTCAGTCTATTGTCTGTCATTCTTGTGGCAGGGGGTTGGGGATGTGGGGGTGCAGGGATGTGGGTTGGGGTGTATGAGGGGCTCAGGACACAGGATTGGGGTATGTGTGGGGTACAGGAGTGTTGTGGCAGGGGTCTAATAGCTGCGTAAGACTGCCCATTTGCATGACTGAAAATATACAACATAATATTATTGATAATTGACATAATGATTAATAATAGCATAAATGAAATGTACTCATAGACTTTAATGTGACTTTTGCTGTTGCATCTTTTTGCACATGTCTTTGAAGTTTACATCAAACATAACTGGTGAAATCCAGCTTCATGCATGCATTCAGTCTATTGTCTGTCATTCTTGTGGCAGGGGGTTGGGGATGTGGGGGTGCAGGGATGTGGGTTGGGGTGTATGAGGGGCTCAGGACACAGGATTGGGGTATGTGTGGGGTACAGGAGTGTTGTGGCAGGGGTCTGGGGATGTGGGTGTATATAAGGAGCTCAGAGCAGGGAGCTGAGGTGTATGATGGGCTCAGGGTTGGTATGTGGGGGTGCAGGAGTGTTATGAAACTGAAGCCAGATGGAGGGCTGGGCCCCAATTGGGGACTTGTTGGCCAGGCTTCATTTTTAAATAAAGTAAAATATTATGTCCAATGCAGAAGGTTTCAACATTATTTGACATGCATCTGACGAAGTGGGACTTTGCCCACGAAAGCTTATGCTCCTATACTTCAGTTAGTCTATAAAGTGCCACAGGACTCCTCGCCGCTTTTGCAGATTCAGACTAACACGGCTACCCCTCTGATACTTAACATTATTTATGGCAGGGGTGGGGACCCTTTTCTGGGTTGAGGGGACCACTGAGCTTGGTGGAAGGAGGCGGTTGTGACTCAAGGCATGGGATTAGGGTGCAGGAGTTTAGATTATGACCTAGAGCAGGGGATTATAGTGCAGGGATTTGGGTTGTGACCTAGCGCAGGAGAGGATTTTGATCTGGGGTAGGAGATTGGGATGCAGGGTCTGGGAGAGGGGTATGGGCTCAGGAGGGCGGCACAGGATTTTGGTTGTGGGGGAGGGGACAGAGGTTTAGAGGGAGGGAGGGGCTGGTTTGCCAGAGGCAGGCTGTGGCTGGGGCTCTTACCAGTGCAACTTCAGGCCAGCAGCCCAGCACATTTCTCAGGAGCCTGTCCTGCCCCCACACAGGTTGCAGGGACATGTGCTCTGTGAATACGAACCTGAGGAGAGGTGGGGTTAGTGCCTGTCGTGCTGCCTGTTTTTTTAAATAGGCTGCTTCCATTTGCCAGAAACCAGACAATGGGATTGTGCTGGGGCGGGAACAGCCATGAAGCACCACTTCCCCTCCCCTCCTCGCTCACAGTTGGTGAAAAACAGCCCCTCAGCCACTTTTCTTAGTGTCATGCAGGGGTGTGGCAAGCAGAAGAGTCTGCCTGGATGCTCCCTGCTGTGTCCGTGGGCCGGATTGTTCTGCTGTAATGCCAGAGCAGGCTCTCTGCTGCAGGGAGGAGGGGGAGCAAGGGTGGGTGGGTGGGGGTGTGTGTGTGTGTGTGTGTCTCGAGCTTCAAAAGAGCTACATCTGGCTCTCTAGTGAGCCATATTTGTCTTATGAGCAAATATGGCTCACTAGGGGATTGCCGACCCCTGATATAAACTATTTATCAAAAAAAGCTTTTCCCGGGTCTATATGGTGGGAGAATGCTTGTATTCCATCATTTCCATAATTTAACAAAATAGTGAACTGTATTTTGATAATTTCTCTGTGTGTGTGGTGGTATTGTTAATTTCACATGTTAAGGTTTTTTTGCTTAGCACTTAAATGTGTTGCACTTGTTTCATGTGTTAACAATGTGGGACACTTGCACTACTAAAGCTAGAAAGGCCTGGATTTTATTTAAACAGAGAGAAATATGCGCATGATTCAGATCCAAGAAAATATGGCTGAACAAAAGAACATTAAGGATAAACTAGAAAATGAACAAGAAAAGCTTCATGTGGAATATAACAAGGTAAGAAATGCTGTTAATACCGCTTTGCTAAGTATTTGTGCGTTGTTAACTGATAGAATTTAGCTTCTCAAAGGGCATTTCTTACCTATGTGGAAAACTTTTATTTAAAGATAGAGTACCAAGATAAAAATGCTACTTAAAATAATCTTAACTTTCCTATTTTAAATTTTCACAACTATAGTGAATTTCTAAAGTTTAATTTGTACCCTATCCTTCATACAAAGTCTGGTTTAAAAGGGGTCCACATGAGCACAGGGGCTCTTTTGCATGATTCATAGATGATTAGGTTTGGAAGAGACCTTATGAGGTTATCTGGTCCAACCCAGTGCTCCAAGCAGGACCAACCTCAGTTAAATTATGGAACTAATTTAAAGATTTGGGCCTACTTTTTACCGTTTTTATTGTTTGTATGCACTTAGTTCAGATTCTGACCCTTGACTTGTCCGTTTCACATTGTTTTGGGGTAATTTGATTTTCAGATTGTCTTCTAGTGGTAGTGTCTGGATTTCTATCAGTATAGAAGTTGTTTACATGAAATAGTGTAGAATACAAAACATGAAAATTGCTGCCCATTTTTTATCAATATCTAAATTTTGAGCCTTCCCCAGTTTTTAATGGGGAGTAACAGATGATAACATTGCCTCCAAAAATCTGTTATAATTAATGTGTATGAGCAAGTAATGGTATGTGGAGGGGTTAGTGTTGATTAAAAATTGCTTGATCACTTTTGGATTCTTTTGAAACAGAAATAATGTACATAATTTATCAAAATTATTATTTGTGCAGGCTGATACTGATGCTTGCTAAATTCATCAGATTAGAATTTATCAAAAGTGGTTTAAACAGATGTTTTAAATGAAAACACATTTTAACACCTGTTTGTTGAATAGTCTGAGAGAACGGGAGGGGACGATTAGCAAAATTACTAGGCTGTACATCTAATATTATAGCTGGCAATTACTTTTCAGAATGCTCTTCTGCTTTCGTGTTCTTTTAAAGTAACAGAGTAAGTGCTTGGCTTTTTTAAAGTATGTGTTTGCATTGGTTTTGGTTTTTGGTGGTGAAGGAACAAAACTTGATTTTTTTAAGTGTGGAAATATTAGCAATAACTTCAAAACTGGTAATAGTACAGTTGGTATAATGCATTTATGTGCTTGGATTTTGCTTTCTGATTGTGATTGTGGAACCTAATTGTCATGCTAAATTACTTCATATCCTCTTTTACAAAACAGATGGCTGTCCAACTTTTCTTCTTAGTGCTGTTATATGCCTGAATGACTACAAAGATCTCTGATGTATTGACTTGACTATTGAGTTCCTTTGTGTTTTTAATTATGTAATTTATAAAAGTTACAGGGTAAAGAGTTCTCAGATTATAGATGCTGAATAACTTCAGGAAATAAACTTTAAAATATTTTTTCAATTTTTTATTCTTCAGTTGTGTGAGTCTTTGGAAGAGCTTCAAAATATGAATGGAAAGCTACGGAATGAAGGACAAGGAATATGGACTCTCCTGGGTAGAATCATTGGACAGGTTGGCTTTTTCGTTTTTTCCACCTCTTTTGTACCACACAAGCGCGCACAATTTTAAAATAGGGTTTTCTTTTTATTTTGTACTCTAGGGTTAATGATTTCTGATTGAAATGTATCTAAAGCTCTGCAAGCAACCTACTGGGAACCTGTAGCTTAATTTTGTTTTTGTAATAGCTATCTTGTTTGCAAAATTCTTTCATTTGCTGTTACTGATTGACTTGTCATTTGTGATAAAGCTAAACCTGAAGCATGAGTTAATCCCACCATATTCCCCCCACTTTTTCTTTAGCAGTTGTAGATTTCAAATAGTATGGTTCCTTGGGTTTGTATTGACGGTTTATGACCATTTCATAAACTGTACATCCGTAAAACTACACATCACTTGCAACAGTGTTTTTTAAATTATGCAGATAAAATGATGTACTCTTTTTTTAGAAATAGAGAGTATATGGTGATATTGCAAAGTAAGATTATTTCTTGTTGCCACCAGTGACTCTGTTATCCATAGTCATGGGTATTTTTCATGCTTCGGTCTACTAAAAAATTAATTGAATGAAGAGAAAAGGTAAACAGATACATGGATTATGTTAATGATAATTCATTGAATCCCCATATATGTAAAATGGCAATGTGTCATTTATCCATCAAAGGAGAACATGAAACTATTTTCAGTCATGTGTTTAAAGAAGACGGAGAAACTTGTTCAGTACATATGTTCTTTTTCACACTGAATATTGTATCTATCAGTATGTAGATGGCTGTGTTTCTGAAACTGTGAGTCATTTCATTCGTCTTTTATATAATATCTCCCATATCCTCCTAAAGGGCTCAGACCTGGCATACAGGGAAACAGCAGTCTTTTTCAAGATGTAATGTATGGAGCACTGATGTACCACACTAATTATAAAGGTGCTTTTGGGAATTATACGGAATAAATATTGAGTCAGTATTTTAAGATGATCAGAATAAAAAGACATCACCTAATTAGGCCTTGTATCAGAGTCTTGTGATGGCCTTTGGTACTGCCTTGTTTGTATTATTGTACTTAAAATGAAATCTATCATTGATATCTACAGTAATGCTTGTGGCTTAACCATATTGGCTATGGCTGAATTATTTTGGCCTTCTTGTCTTTTACAAAAATCTCTTTGTTAGTAGGACTTGGTCTGTATGGAACAAGATTTTATCTTTTTAAAGTTGTTTGAAAAAAGTCCACAAATGTATTTTCCAGTGTAAACATTAATAAACCAGGGGAAAAAAAAGAAAGAAAGCAGAAATAGAAGTAAAATTCATTTGCACAGCTTGCATGACACTTTTTCCAGTTGGTTGAACAGATGCAGGCCCACAGGGCCGCCGAGAAATGACTTTGATAGATGGTTGCTGTCTGAGAAGCTTGCATACTGCAGATTAGTAGAAACCCGAAGAGAATCTGGTCTGCTTTGTGGAGAGTTTGGTCCAATAAGATAATTTTTCTAATTAACCTATGGAGCACCAGTATAACAGGGATACTGAGGAAAATAAACTGCCTCAATATTCTTTTGTCAATTGTAGTGGATTCTTTCTCTCTCCCTCAAAGATTGGAGGGGAAAGTTAAAAGCCAAGACTTTAGTGTTTCCATGTTTTTTCTAACTTGGAAAATGTGTGTGTAATTCTGTGAAAAACAAAATTTGTTTTGAGACAAAATAAATATTGTAGTTGCTCATGCTACTGTAAAGTAGTTTAGGGCATGTCTTCACTAGGAAATTATTTCAAAATAACGTATTTTGAAATAATAACTTCTGAAATAACAGTGTCAAAATATGCTTATTCCCCAAGGAAAGCAGGAGTTATTTCGAAATAACAGGCTTGGTAGTGTGTACATTCTGCTTATTTCAAAATAAGGGGAGTTATTTTGAAATAACTCCCTAGTGTAGACCAGGGCTTAGAAAGCAGGTTTTCCCTAAGAAATCTAGTATCTTGAAGTTGACCAAATTTAACAGGCTGTGGAGTAGCAGACACGGGGGAGGGGGAAAGGGGGGACCTAAATTCTTCTTTAGAAACGTATATATACACTGAATTTGTTTAAATCCAATAGAAATTGAACATACCAACAATTTTGCGAGCACCCAAGGAGAGGAAACCAAGTAAAAAGGAAGGAGGAACACAAAAGATGTCTACTCTTCCAGCAGTACTTTATAGGCAAGTAATGCAGTCTTGGTAGAATAGGCTTGATACAATTAAGGAGAATTTTGATTAATCTTTATAACTGAAATGTTTATTATACAACAGTTGAAGAAAATGCTTCCCCCACATGTTTCTATTGTCTGCTTTTAGAGTTATGGTTATCTCTAAGCTTAGAAGCTGAGACATTTGTTTATTTTGGCACATAAAATGGCAGGGCTTCCTCTGTTAATAGACAGCAGCACTTTAAAGGAAAAAGGCTCTCTACATCTGAAAGGTCAGAATTGTTTGCAGCTATAATTTGGAAATTTTAAATCCGTGCTTTTGTTGTTTGAATTTAGTAATATATATCGCTGTACGGATTTGATATGAACGATATTATGTACTCAGCAGCATAGTGTTCAAAAAAATTTTGAGGATATTTATTCTTCCAGTTGATGAATCAGCAAGCTGCTTTTGAACAGATTTGTTTTTACTTTTCCGTACTCACATTTTCTGTTTGTCTGTGTCTGTCGCTCTTTCTTTTTGTCTGTTTCTCTTTCTGTCTTTCTGTTAATAAAAAATCTTTTTGAGACTACTAAACTAGAATGCCATATAGGGACAGTAGCTCAATTTAAAAAGTGAAGTTTGATTTATTTTGTGTTTGTTCATTACCCAGCATGATGAGATTGAAGTGCTGTTTGGGGTTTTCAGTGTTGTTGAAATAAATAAATGATTGATAATATTCTGTTTAGCTACTTTGTCACAGCATGGTGATTCTTCCCTTCCTGCCATTATCTCCCCCACCACATACACACTCACACATATTGTGTTTTGCCCCAACATGGTGATTCTTCCCTCCCCCAATCTCCCTTCCTTTCACAATCTGTTTTTTGCGCTGGTTCTTGGTGATATCATCCTCATTCGAGCATCAGAGGGTAACTGCAGTTCTACAATACTTGAATATGAAATTTCAAGAAAATGGGAGACTTAAAGATGAGATATAACATAGTTTGAAAATATAACCTTAAAGGCACAGATGCTTACTCATAAACTTTTTAAGAAGTAATCAGGTAGTTCGTTTACATGAACACTGAAAACTGTGATGTCATTAACCTATATTTGCATACTTGCACTTTTATTGTCAGTAAGAATACAGTACTGTACAATATGTGCTATACCATTTCAAATGTAATTTTAATGCTTTTTTGGCTGCATTTATTCAAAGTTGTGGAATTTGTAAGAAGAACCATGATCAACACCTCCTCTTACTGTGTGATACCTGTAAACTACATTACCATCTCGGCTGTCTGGACCCTCCTCTTACAAGAATGCCAAGAAAAACTAAAAACAGTTATTGGTAAGAATATTGTTAGTTATCTTTTGCACTGCAAATGAGAATTAAATGTGAAAATCATTGTAAATGTTGAATCTTTAATAGGGATGTAAAAAACCGCTTACAATAGTTAACCAGTTAAATGAGTTGTTTAACCAGTTAACCACAGGCCACGGGCGGGCGACTGCTCTGGGATCCAGTTGGCCAGGTCTGCTGCAAGCGGGAAGTTGTTCTGGCCTGACCCTGCCTTGCTGAGGCTATGGGTGGCAGGAACTGCTTTGGTCCCTACATGGCTCACTACAGCTAAGGTCTGCCAGCCAGACCACCATGTTCAGGGGTGGGGTGCCTGCTTTGACTGGGCAGGCCCTCCCGTCAGCCAGTTACCCGGTGAGCATGCCGGTAAAGCTAATGCTTTCTAGGTAACCAGTTACCTGTTTAAACTTTTATATCCCTAGTATTTAAGCATTACCAAATACTGCTTAAAGTAGATAGTCTTGATTTCAAGTTTCTTTGCCAATGCATTATTACTTTTGAAAATTAAGCTATATGTTTAAGATCTGTATTTATTCTGACTTCACTTTCATCACTTTGAAGGGTAGGTGAATTGGGTTATTCTAATTGACAACATTGACATTTCACTCAACTTTATCAGGCTAGATGCTTATTTTCCATGTCTGCGAAATAAGAATATTATTCATAGAGACTTTTTAAACTCATGCTAATTGAAGACCATTACCGATGACTAATTTGAAATGTGTATTTTAATCGATAATTCAAGATGAATAGTTAAGTCTCTATTAAAACGCAAGTAAATGTGATTAGATTACAAACTTAATTTAATGTATTTGTATTGGGAAGTGTGCATTAGAAGATCTAGGTTGAATTTGTGAGAAGTTATTTCTCAAATGAATAAATTTAATCTGACAATGTTTTATCAACTGGTCATAATCTCTGGCATCTTTTCCAAATTATGAAGTATTCTATATTCAATATATACCGTGTTTGAGTTCAGTTTAATCTGAAATGTAGGAATATTTGAATGAATGAGGAAAAAGTAACAAATTCACACCTTTAGAAAAAGATATAGGGAACAATATTTTGAAAACTTAGGGTTGTAAAAATAACATCAAAAGATGCAAAATAGTGTTTTGATGAGAAAATGAATGGATTTCAATTTTCTCAGGTGATGTTGCATTCTAACTATGTATATGGATGTACATGGATGATATCTCCAGACACTCATCGCTAGCCTTAATGGATATGTCTGCAGGGGAAAATAAAACCCATGGTTCTAGAGTCTCAGAGCTCATGTCATTTGACTCAGTCTTGCTGGTTTTGGGCTTCATGGTTAGAAAATGTACCTCTGTTCAGGGTAGAGTCTGGGTTCTGAAACCCAGCAAGTGAGGTGGATCTTAGAGGCCAAACACCATGCTGTGCTGAAATGTATATGCTGTTATTTTTAGTTCTTTACTGCCAGACTTAATTACCCCAATATAAAATTAGTGTGTGGGTGTTTGTAAGCATTCTGCATGTTTGTAAAATGTTTTGAAAAATCTAATTATGCAGAAATAGTCTTTACTCATCTCTCTAGAAAAAAGGTTAATGTTACAACTTCCCCAAGAAAGGGCTTAGAACCTCCTAGCAGTGAGCCCTAATTTATCACATTGGAATAACCATTTCCAAAAGCAGGGTTTTTTTAACTAGCTCACTTAAAAATTGAGTTTCAACTTCCCCTTTGTATATAGTTCCTTTTGAATCGATGTCTAAAATAAACTGGGTCTGAAACTGTTTCTTTATTTGAGAATTACACAGGAAAATACTTAAGTATTTTTTCTGGGGATTTTAACAATACTTGTCACATTATGCTCAATGAGACATAAACAATTAAGTAACTTGGTGTTTCTTGTATGTGAGATCTTTATCCCTCAATTGACATCTCATTATGACCATATTAAATTAATTATTAGAGATTATCTTCAAAGATAAAAAATTCAAAGAGTCCCACCACTATTTGAAAATTTATTCTTTTGAGCTTTAGTCTAGGCCAGCCATTCTAAATTATTCCTGTGTAGTCCATTGTCTTTGACCTTAAGTGATTTCTTGTACCTTCATAAACTCTGGTTGAATTTGCAGAATGAATAATGTAAACGATTGTTTGACATTTTATTGCTGCCATAGCATGTGTACAGGAAGTCACTAGTTGTGATCTGCTTTATAACCAAGTTGAAAAGGCCATTAAAAGCCATCAGTTCAGAAGGACATTAACTATACTTCAATGGGTATTCAGGTTTAGTAGGTCAGGTAGATATCAATGCTTTTATTTCAAAGTGCTAGCTTGTCTTTGCTGTGAATTTCATGCTTCAGCTACACTGCTGATCACAAATTTAGCTTTCGCTTTTAATTAGCTCAGGCATAGTCAAGAGGATAAGATTATAGTAGAGAAATTGAGGTGTATTGATTGCATTCTTTTCATCTATGTCTTTGTCTTTGTATACTCTTTTTAAGATCACTAGAGACTGTGTAAAATAGACCCCTGTTCTAAGTGTTAAGTTCAGCAAAAGTTTTTCACTGCTGTTTTTAATACATCTTCTATTTAAACTATTTCATTAACACTTAAAATAGTTTGGTTTTATATAAATAAATATGTATAAACGATAACATATGTATAATTTTATTACACGAGGACAATGTACACCTCAGGTTTTTGCCTATTCATATGGAATTTAGTATAAAAACCATACAAAACAAAGTGAAGAACTATGAATTGCAAGACGTTCCCTGGAACGTGTGATCTTGGATAAATCAGGTCAGTGAATGAAATACTGTGACAGAATTTTAAAAGATTCAATACAATTATCAGTGTTCAGATAAAAACAATACTATGCTAATATGAGGGAACAGCATTTCTCCTACCCCCAATTGTCAAGAAGTGTTTCTGCTGACATTAAGGAGGTCCTAATGCCCCTAAATTAGGGGAGTATTGTGTCTGCTTTCTTCATTCGGAATGACAGGAGGGGCTCCCTTTTCCCCTGTGTATTAACAAGTAACTTTAAAAAGTAGAGGACATTTGAAAAAAGTGGAATCTCACTAATTTATACCATAATGATTTTTTGGGAGGAGATGATGGAGAAATACATATGCTGAATAGGTCCCTCTCCTCTTAAATCTAAACTGGCTTTTTTGAGACATTTCTTTCCTGGCTGATTGACAAGTTTGCCCTGGCTTCCTACTATCTACTAAGGAAGGTGTTTAACCTTTTCTCGTATTGCAAAACCATTCAGTTTTAGAAATAATAAAATAAGTACTTTTGCATACAAAATGCAATTTTTAGTCTTTGGAACTCCGTGCTAGAGATACTATTGAGACCAAGATATTATTCTACTATCATAGAAAAAAAATACTAGTTATTTCATATAGATAAGAAGAGCATCTAGGGTAAAATAAATAGTCAGGATTAAAATGAAAGTCAGAAATTTAGGAAATATTATAAACTGACAGCATCAGTGTGTAAGCCAGACTCAAATTAGTGGGTGGTAGGAGGAAACTTTGAGAGGCTGGATTATTCCACAGCTTCCTACTTTGGGAATTTTTGTAATTTAACATTCATCTGCTACTAGTATTCATTGGAGTCTCTGTCCACAAACATCAGCGGAAGTGATTTTGTGGATTGGATGCAGCCATTAGATTACATTTCCACAAAGGTTAAAAATTGTAGTTTAAGTGTGTGTGTGTGTGTGTGTGTGTGTGTGTGTGTGTGCGCGCGTGCGCAATAATACAGCAAAAACACAATATGGGGGATCCCTCATCCCCTCTAATCAAAGGAATGTCTTAGGTGAATTTGTTCCTTGTAGCTTCCACACATGGTGCTGATGTTCTGTGTGTGGACATCTTTCTTTTGCCAGCTCTCCATGTAAGTGCCTTTAAGAGTGTCTTAGATATAAACATGGTCTTTTTGTAAGCCTTGAAAAATCTGACTAATTTTCCTTTATAGGCATTTTCGGGGGCTTGGAATACCAAATGAGAGAATTTATTAAAGCGCGATACTTTATATTCTAGTAAAGAGAATGGGATAAAAGTTGGTAAAGTACTGATAAGCACCGAAGAGAGACACTCAAATGAAAAATAATTTAGTTGTATTAAATTATATCATATGAAAGCAGACAACTAAATATTAACAAATTTTGTAAGTGCCTGTATACGAATGTGAACAGTATCATTCAATGTTCTCTTTTTAAAACACAATAGCACTGACATTTTTCAGTTGCTTACATTACTTAATGCCTGAATTGAAATACATGACAGCAAAGCTATTTCTGTTAAACTTATTTTAGGTTCAGTTTTGTAAACCTTTCCTTTCCTCCTGATAAAGCATCCAGATCATTTATAGTAAATATGCCACAGTTAAATTTTGTTTTTAAAAATTAGCCTTTAATATAATTTTTAAAATAAAATTTCCTTTGACTTTTTGTAACCTGCATTGTATTGCAAAAATTCTGCGTTTATAGGCAGCAAATTAACTCACCTCCTTGTCTTCAAACCATGTAGTTAGAAATGAATAACAAAATACACATTTTTATTTCTTGCTGAAATAAGTTTTGCTGCTTCAGTTAAATTATCAATGTTTTTATGTTAATTTTAAATTGAAATTTTGTTTTTCAATAGTTGGCATGCTATTTCAGGCTATTTATAATAATTTCATTAACCAATGTTTAAAATACCATTTTTGGTAAAAGTAAAAATTGAGTGGTGGTAGGATTTTGGTAAGATTTGCAGTAAAAGGAACAATATTTTAGGATACTCAAAGAAGTACTTGAAAAGTAATTTGTCACAGATATTTGCAGACCAGAAATTTCAACCTCATATTTTAGGGTTAATATCTGCATTTTTGACCTAACATCTTGTTATGAGGTATACAAGGAGGCCCCTGACATTTGACCGCCCGAGTTCTGACCCCCCCACACTTACAACCATTTTTGTAAGTGCGGAAAGGACCGGAAACCACTGACTTACGTCCTTGGCCCACATTTACGATGGTGCACAACACCTGTCGTAAATGAGGGTTCGAGTTATGACGACCCCGACTTGCAACGCTTTCCGTGGAACCAATCGCATCGCAAGTCGGGGCCTCCTGTATTATTTTCTTGTTATGAGAACCTATGAAGATGACTTCACATCTTGTTAATTTTTGTTCATGGAGCTTGTTGGTAGTATACATTAGAGATTGCTCATTTTTTGTAGTTCTGACCATGAATTTATAATTTTTTGAAATAGAACATGGAGTTTTTCCGTAGAATATAAAAAATTGCTAATATGCACTTCACATTCTATATATTTTCGTTTGTCTTTAAATTTTTTCTAGACTTCAAAAAATGAATCTAGTGTGAGTTGAATTGTCCATTGTCTTTAAAATGGTTCATTGATTTTCAGAGGAAACCTTTCTTGCGAGTCTGTCAGTAAAAAACTGCCCACAGAGAGCAAATTCCGCACAGTATGTATGTAGTAGAGATTAGAGGCTGCAGCAGCTACAATAATGAATAGATGCAAGATCAATGGGGGTAGGATTAAAAAAAAAAAAGTGAAATAAGAGAAGGAATATTTTTTTTCTAAATATAAAAAAAGCACTTTCAGAAAGTCTTAGATACAAAGTGACGCGAATGATGTAAATAAATACCCTGTATATCTGGCAGTGGCAGCTACTTAAATAACTGTTGTTTTGAGAAAAATACACTAAATTTGTGTGGAATTGGGTTTTTGTGTTTTTTATCAAAAAACTTTTTTCTGCTTTTGTGGCTGCTATTGTCCATAAAAAAATCTTTCTGATCTTCCAGGCAGTGCTCAGAGTGTGACCAGGCAGGCAGCAGTGACATGGAAGCAGATATTGCCATGGAAACTTTACCAGATGGGACTAAGAGATCGAGAAGGCAGATTAAGGAACCAGTGAAATTTGTTCCACAGGATGTGCCACCAGAACCAAAGAAGATTCCAATCAGAAACACGGTAAATGACAGCTTAATTGTCATTATACAGGTCATATTCAAAATGATTTGACTTGGTACAGATTAGGGATGTTAAATATAGTTTAATCAACTAATTGACTAGTTGATGGATTTTCCATTGATTAGTCGATAAGCAAGGGAGCCGCAGTGGGGTTAGCTTCCAGTCCCAGCGGTTAACCCCACTGTGCCTCTGCCTTTTAACTGAATTAGAGCCGGCAGGACCCAATGCAAGCTGGAGATCAGCTGTCCTTCATGCCAGGTCACTCCCCTCCTTCCCCACCCCCCCATGATTCTAATTTTTAAATGTATTAGGAGCTGGCAGGCTCTTAATACATTTAAAAAGCAGAGTTGCAGCATCTGGGACTGGGTGTGAGTTGGGAATCAGCTGATTGCTGGCTCGCACCCAGTCCCCGGTACTCACCTACCCCCTGCAGAGATAGTGCTGGGGGAAACTAGCTTTTAAGATGGCTCCCCCCAGCACTGGCTCCTGCTCCCCCCAGCTGTTAAAGGCAGCTGGTGGTGGAGCCAGGCCAACAGCCAGTGATGGGCTGGATGTGGGTGGCAGAGCTCCAGGAAGCAGGCCAGGGGTATCATGCTATCTGGGGTCAGGAGAGCATCTCCAGATATCCAGATATTTGCCTCCCTGGTCCATCAAACTCCCTTTTTTGAGACCACACAGGTCCTGAAGGTGCCTGATGAGGGAAGTCCAACATGTATATTTAAAATTGGGACCTTTAGGCTACAATGAATTAGTTCTATATTTAAATAATGAGCACCTATGACATTCTAATATAGTTGTAAAAACTATTTCATCTGATTATTAGATAACCTCATTTTTTGTCTCTAATATGTGATTTACTTGACTGCTAAGGAAACACCTAAACTAACAATGGTGGTAACTGCATACTTTATAAGAATAGTAGATCAAGCTTTATCTTTAAGCTATAGGTCACCAACTTAAATACTGTAAATTTAACCACAAGTAAGTAACAACCAGAAATCTTTATATTTTGACAGATATTCTCTGGCCTATGTGAATTTGTCACCTAATCCACCCAGTTGGTACCATTTGTCATTCTGGCTTGGCAGTTTCTATGAATAGCCATAAAGAATAAATGACATTTATCCCTCTTCCAGTGGTTTCTCTAAGATAGTATAGAAGAAGATTGCATCTGTTCTACTTCCTCTTCTGAGGGGGAGAGAGTTCTTCAGTGTCAAGGCCTATCGCTTATCACTTGTATAGAACTAATTTTTAGAGGTAATTTGTTTAAAGTGAAAAAGTAGTCAAAGTTGCATTGTACAGATTATTTTAATTTGGTTCTTCAGAGCTGATCTGGTGGCCAGCAGTCCATAGGGCCAGTGGCCTGGGGGTGGCGGAGTGTAGCCGACAGCTAGGGAATGGCAGAGCCCAGCCAGCAGTTAAGGGGGACCAGCTTACTTGGTAATAGAAATGAAATTTTGGTGCTCTAGATAAGTTCTAAAGGGTGCTTTGCAAAGGTAATCACTTTGATGTTACCTATTATATTACTGCAAAGTGTAATCAATTGATTAATTTTATATGTGTGTATGTATGTTTATAAAAATGTTATTTTCACACTTAATGTAGTGGACTCCTCTAACACAACAGCAGAAGGGATAAAAACAATAGTTTAACTTCTAGTATGTCTCAAATACTATTATTAAACATAGATGTTTAAAAGATTAACTGATAAGCCTGGGTTTATTGGTTAATCCAAATGACTACATGCAACCTCCTCCCTCTCCGCTGCCTCTGTATTAAAGGCAGCAAGGGGGGGGAAGGAGGCGGGATCTGGTGCCCATGGGGAGCCAGCTTTTAGAATGGCTCCCCATATGTGCCGCTTGCCAGGGAGCCACCTGTTCCACCGTGCTGCTTTCCACAGAAGCAGCAGTGTCGGGGACAGATGGGAGCTGGTGCTCAGAGAATTAAACAAATAAGCCAATGCTTATCAGTGCTCAGAGAGAGCTAGCTTAAAAGCCTGCTCCCCGTGAGTACAGGATTCCATGGAGCCACCCACCCCTTCACTCTTGCACTGTTGTCTCTGATAGAGAGGCCGCTGTGTGGATGGTGAGGGGGGGCAGGCGGGAGCTGGTAGATGCAGGAAGCTGGCTTTCAAGAGGCTGCAGCACAGGGGGAAGGGAGCAGATAGGAACCAGTATGTGCTGGTTCTGTGGCTTCACCTGTCTCCCCCCCCCAACCCTCCCCAGCTGCAGCAGTGGGGTTGGGCTTGCCACGGACAGAGGCTGCCACCGCCATGTGCTACTGCTACAGAGGGAGCAGTGCAGGGTGGCAGGGGGCTCCCTGGGAGTGGGGCAGTGAGCTAGGATTGCACTGGCTGCTAACCCTGCCCTGGGGGACCATTTTAGTAATTGTGTAATGATTAAAAATTGTTGAGGCTACCCTATTACTAAAAAACATGGTATCTAGCATCCCTAGTCATTATATAATTAAGTTATCATTTAGAATATTATCCTCTATATATTTCATTTTGTTATGAATGCTTTCACATGCTTTTAGACTGCTTTCTAATTGTTTTTCAGTGCTTCTGCTCTTTTATAAAAACAAATAAAAACACAAACATTATTGAATGCTTTTAAAGAACAGATTTTTTTTTTACTAGCAAAGAAAAAAGACCCCTGTAGGTCATTTCCATGAGAGAAGAGCTACTTTTAATCATTATAGTAATCATTAAGACAGAATATCTTATTGCCTCTATAAAAATCCATTGTACGCTCACATCTTGAATACTGCATGCAGATGTGATCACCTCATCTCAAAAAAGATATATTGGCTTTGGAAAAGGTTCAGAAAAGGGCAACCAAAATGATTAGGAGTTTGGAATGGGTGCCATCTCAAGAGAGAGTAAAAAGATTGTGACTTTTTAGCTTAGAAAAGAGGAGACTAAGGGGGGGGGAGGTATGATAGAGGTCTATAAAATCATGACAGGCATGGAGAAAGTGAATAAGGAAAAGCTATTTACTCGTTCCTGTAACATAAGAACTAGGGGGTCACCAAATGAAATTAATAGGTAGCATATTTAAAAGAAACAAAAAAGTTTTTCTTCAGTCAGTGCAGAGTCAACCTGTGGAACCCTTTGCTAGAGCATGCTGTGAAGACCTGGACTTTAACAGGGTTCAAAAAAGAACTAGATAAATTAACGGAGGTTAGGTTAATCAATACTAATTAGTCTGAATAGGAAACAGTGGTGTTCCTAACATCTGTTTGCCATGGATGACAGGAGAGAGATCACATGATGATTACCTGTTCTGCTCACTTCCTCTGGAGCATCTGGCATTGGCCACTTTTGGTTTCACCTAGTATGGTCATTCATGTTCTTCTGTTCAGTATTCTCTTGTCATTCTCTACCATACTCCGATCCTTTGAGATTTGTTTTCCTATAAGTTTCTAACTAAAGGCTTTTATTGACATTTTCATTGTAATATAATACTGCATAATAGGGACATAAAAGGGTACCTGGTTAATTGGGGCCCAGCTGGGCCGGAGCAGCCCTCCACCCGTGGTGCAGCTGGCCTGGCCTAGCTGGAGCAGCCCTCTATCTGTGGTGCAGGCCCATCTCGTCCTGGGGAGCGGGGGGAAGGGAGAGGCTGGCTAATAAGGTAAACATATAGTTTAACCAGTTAACATTTTAAATGGGATTTTACATCCCTTCTGCAAAAGAAGATGGAGAGAACTTGAGAAAATATCCATAAATGCAATAAAAAGAATATTTTTTTCCTAGAAAACAGTACTTTTGTCACTCAATGTGGTTTGGGGTAGGGCTGTTAAGTAACATGTATTTGTGTAAATGTGTGACCACTGGATTTTTTAGCAGTTACAAATTTACATGTGAGGGGAGGGAAGCAGGTGGAAGCTGGTGCTCATGGGGAGCTGGCTTTTAATCATGGGGTGGGTGCTTTGACAGCCTTTCCTGTGTGTACTGGCTCCTGCCTTGCTCCCTCCCCACCATGCTGCTGCCCCTCTATCAGAGGCAGCAGTGCAGTAGAGGGGCAGTCAGCTCGCTGGGAGTTGGTACACATAAGGAAGCCGACTTTCAAGGCTTCTCGGTTAATTGTGTGAACGGCTACATGCTAACATCCCTAGTTTGGGGATGTGTGATGTCTGTGACCTTTTAGTTGTGTATGAACTATGATTCATTCCTAAAAGAGCTACCCAAAGTAAGTACCAATCCTTCTTGCCCCCTTATCTCACTATAGCCGTATCCATTGTTCATTGAATGGCGTCACTAGATTTTCTTAAAGGAATCTGCCTTTGAGCCCCATTATGCTTTGCTTACAAATACCCCCCATCTAGTCCAGCTAACATTTGATGGGGTTAAGCTGTGGATTCTTATGATTACTAGAAGCTTTTGTCTGCAGCAGAATTTTTATACTGGGATTGGTTTTTTTTCTATCTGTAGAACCTATTGCCAAAATGTCAAGCTTCAGTCAGAGGAATGCTTCCCTTCCTGTTCAAATAGCTAGGGAGAACTTTCAGAATCATTAAGAACAAAGCGGCTAATTCGATTCAGGCTGTAGACATGACAAAGCTAGGAAGTGAGGCTGCATGAATAAACCAAAGAGCCTCTTTGAACAGTAAGAGGGAAAGTTCAGCTTGAGGGAAAGTTCAGTTTCTGACCAATAGGCTCTTCAAATCATCTTAATGAAAGTACATCTTATAAGGCTTAAAGAATCAAGCAGTAGAAGAACATAAGAGTAGTGACTCCTAATCTCAGGAATTAGAATCAGTTTTTCATTCTCCTTCTCCCATTTCCTCTGGTGACGATTACAGCTGTAAATACTGAACATGAGGATGAAAAAATTGATTCTCTGAGGGAAATGGGGGATTTGTGGCAAGGGCATAGAACTAAATTTGGGAGATTTGTTTTTGTTTCACACGGTTGAATGTTTTGTCGAATCACTTAATCTTCCTCTTCCTCAATTTCCTCATCCAAAAAATATGACTAGACTTCATCCCCATGAAGC